GATGCGCACGCATACACACACCCTACACACACACACAACCAGCACGCTCTCTTTCTCTCTCACACACACTCCCTCCACACGCACGCTGCGCGCAGGGGCGCGAGATCCTGCAGTCGACGGTCAACGTGGTGCAGGACAGCGTGGGGAAGGAGGTGGGTGCTGGGCCTGCTGGGCCCGCTGGGCCTGCTGGACCTGCTGGGGTGTGCCCCCGACGTGTGCCAGCACGGGCGCCGCGCACGGCTCGTGCAGCCGCTGCAGGGCGGCGTGGGCGGAGGGGGCGGGCAGCTGGGTCAGCGCTGCGGCCTGGGGAGGGGGCACCTGCCTGTGGGGCCGTGCAGCGTGCAGCGTGCAGAGCGGGCGTGGGTCCGGGAGCCTTTGGGGCCACGTGCGGCCGCACCCACCCACAGACCCACCGCGTCCCCTTCCCCCACGTGTGCCTCCCTTCCCCCGCCCCCCTCACCGCCTCTTTCTTCCTTTCTTTCTTTCTTTTCCTGCTTTCCGCCCGCCAGGTCATCTACGGCGACACCGACTCGATCATGGTCTACACCGCCAGCACAGACCTGGCGGAGGTGGTCAAACTTGGTCAACAGATCAAGCGGGAGGTGGGTGCTGGCTGCGGGAGTGGTGGGGGTTGTTGCTAGCGGTGTGCGGGGCTGGGGCATCAAGAAGCGAACAAAAACGAGGAAAAGGGCTCCGCGGGACGCTCTGGAAACAGGCGGGACGGTGGGCTGGGTGTGACGGCCAGGCTGGGGCAGCAGGTCAGGCGGGAGGCGGGTGCTGGGGCGTTCGGAGGTGGCTGCCACGACCGCCAAGGTCTCGCTCTGCCGGCCCGTCTCAAGCCGGCTCGGCTCAAGCTGCCCAACCCGTACCCACCCCCCCGACCCAGTACCGCAGGTCAACAAACGGTACCGCCTGCTGGAGATCGAGATGGACGGCGTGTTCAAGTGCATGCTGCTGCTGAAGAAGAAGAAGTATGCCAGCGTGAAGGTGGAGGTGCAGGCGGACGGCAGCACCGTGGAGGTGGGTGATGCGTGCTGGTGGTGGCTGCTGGTGTGCAGG